CGCTTCACAACCCTCTCTAAGCAGTTTACAGAGTCAACATATTGCCCACAACAATCTAAGCCATTCAGAATCGAACTGCTGAACTGCAGGCAGCCTGCAGGCAGCAGAAGTAGCCTGCAGTACTGCATTCTAGCCACTGTGCTACCATGTAATTATATTTATCTATCAATCGTTTTTATATAAAGCTGCCCATCTCACAGAATATCACTCTAAGCAGCCATATAAATATTAATTTGTATAAAGTCATCTTATCCTTCCTCAAAGAGTCAAGATCATCTTGCAGGATAGGAATTTATAACTACAGAATTTGTAAAATAAATATCTGAAACAAAGCTGTCGATCAAAAGTATCAAAAACTTCCCCCAGTGTCTCAGAGAACTCTGACAATTTATGTGGCCATTCTCCTTTTTAACAAAAAACCTCATGAAAGTCTAGCTTTTATTTTGTAACATTCTTGATAAAGGATTTGTTCAAACACACAACATTGAACTAAAAAGTGAAATTCCTATTGGCACATAAAATATCATTTCCTTTCCAACCCACTTTTTTTTTATTTGCAGACTCGATGATCTTTTTACTTCGAAAGCAAGGAAAACCTGTTTGCTTCAATTTCTTGAACAGAAATGGACCTGACAAATAATCACTTAATAAGCGTTAACGTACCTATTAATCTGGGGAAAAAATTCATATTAGATCTTCATTAAAATAAATAGTAAATGTTGACATTTCATGTTCCCATTAATTTAAAACTACAAGTGTAGATGGGGAAATCAGAAGTGGAAACTGGTGTTACATGAAAGGTGCAGCTTGTGATTTCTTAGCATGTGCTGATCAGGTTTTATTGGTATAGAATTGCTCACTCTTTCATCAATCTGATAAAACCAATGAGTTGGATTATCTGTATGGGAAAGGTCACATAAAAACGAAATAGGCAGGCTATACAAACTGCATGAATAAATTAATCATCAACCTGAAAGATGTAAAGAGGACAACTTTAAATTCAGGGCACTCTCCTATTCCAAAACTAGATTATACATAAAAGAAAAAGGATACAAGCACACACAAAACAGATTACAGACATTTGGGCGCAGCAAGCATCCTTCTTCCGTATTAAGTGTTTTTTTTTAATTTGTTGAATAAATACGCATAGGTTTTTGCCCTACTGGTGATGGATCAATTTAGCAATCTAGTAAACTGCAGTGGAAACAGTGGAAAAAGGCCATGAAGCAATTTTTCTTTTCTCTTTGTAAAAAAGAAACAAGTCAATAGAGGTTATTGTGATGGGCTGCAAGCACAAGGAAACTATGCATGCTTACTCTGTAGCACATCCAATTAAATTCAGGGGCTCATGCCTCCAGATAATATGCTTAGACTTCTAGTTCAGTTCAGTTTGTATACTAACCTTATTGTGTGCTTATTTCCTTCCCTTCATAGAAAATGAACATCTGCAATGGAATTTCTCCATTTGTGGGAAATTTCACACAAAGTGGAAATCCTGATTTTTCTGTATTATGTGTGGGTAATTTACAATTAAATTCACAGTCTGAGACTGGAGGAAACATAATAATTCAAGTCTTAACGAAGAACCTAGGAATTATTAAGGCAGCATCGGAAAGTATAGGCAGTTCCAAAAAGGGTGCTTTAAAAAAAAAACTAATTAGGGTGTTCAGTTCTGATAACTTCAATATTTCTGGATATCAAAGTCATTTGGGTATCTCTCCAAAGACTCTAATCACATTTGGTATAACAATGAATTTCATTTTCATAAGTATTTAACTTTGATCTGCAATTCTCAGTATTTCATAATTTTTTCAATTGTTTTTCCTCGATCCTAACTTCACCCAGAAAAGCAACATCAATAAACCAGATTTTTTTCTTCTTTTTAATAACTGGCATGTTCTATCAATATCAGGCATGTTTTAAATAAGATGTCTTTCTATTTGGATTTTAAAGTCGTGTAACATCTTAACCCGCTCATTTTCCAAAACCTTCTCAGCTTGAGAAGGAAAGCTGTGGTGGCACAGTGGTTAGAATGCAGTACTGCAGGCTAACTCACTGCTCACTCCAGGAGTTCGATTCTGAATGGCTCAAGGTTGACTCAGCCATCCATCCTTCCGAGGTCAATAAAATGAGGACCCAGATTGTTGGGTACACCATGCAAACTCTGTAAACCGCTGAGAGAGGGCTGTAGAGGACTATGAAGCAGCATGTAAGTGCTATTGCTATTGATGGTCCCAAAGTTTTATTCTAATGAAAAAAAAATTGGCAACTCGGTCATGAAGCTCCTTGTAGTCAGTCTGTGAAAATTTTGCTCCAGCCAATCAACTTGTGAGTTGTTTCATTCTTTTTGTTACAAAGGTAACATTTGCTGTTGTTTGTTACATGTTGAATTTTCACCTTCATGCAATTAGTTTGCAAAGCTTGTTCCTAAGCCACTAAAATAAAGCCTTCCATTTCTTTCTTTAAATCTCCTGATTTTAAACCAACTCCATGTGTGTTTTTATCAGCTTTTTCTTCTATAATATTCAAGTATTGACACTATCCTTTGTTCACAACAATGTTAAGTCACAGGATTCTAGATCAGCATCTTTACCACTACATCTAATTGCTCTATATAGGGAACCTCCATGGATAGAGGAGGTCTATTGCAAACATTCACCTACCAAATGTGTGGGGTGGGGGGGAGGAATCAAAGAAGTCCGATCTATCGTGTTCATCCTGCTCCTCCTTGAAATAATGGAGCAGAACACCATAATTTGTTCCATTTCAAGCTGTTTTTTTCTTTATTAGTATATTTTGAACTATGTGATATGACATGATAACTGAACCCTATGTAAAGGGGTGTAGGTTACTAAAACGAAGTATATAGATTTCCTTCACTTCTTTAGATATTATTTGCATTTTATTACCATACCAGAAAATCATGAAAGAAAAAGCCACATTATAATCCTCCTAATTATTTCACCTCTGATCTCTTACTATCACTATCCCCTTGTCTTCACCCATAATGCACAATAAATATGCATTGTTTTCTTTTGAATTAATTTATGGAAAACTCTTCACATTTTCCTTGACTCCGCCAGCAAAATTTCATTTTTGCTATTTTTCTGGCCCAAAGCGAAAGCTACGTGAGCAGTATTAATTTGCAACTCCAAAATGTATAAGCCAAATCCATATGATATCATTAAAAATTATTAGAAAAGAATTTGTGTAAACATAATGGAACCTAGAGAAGCAGAGTAAGGACATCAAACAAAGAAAATACATCAGGCAATTTATTTAATAGCTGGTTTCCTTAGTGGCAGCAAACCACAACTACAGAAATATGCCAAGCCAAAATAATGGAATCATTTTTTTTAAAGTACTATACTACCACAACCAGGGGAAAGATCAAAAATTATTTCCATCAGGGAGTCTCTCCATGAACCAAGAGATTTTTTTTAAAGCAGAGACATTCTCATAACCTAGAAACATACTTTCCAGCCACACACAAAGCTGAAACGGCTTAACCTTACAGTCAATATCTGATTAAAAACTACTATAAAAAGTCACACTCTCTTATAGCTAAGAGCATACTCAAAAGTGTTATAGAGCTGGTTCAATCCACTTTGCACTGCACTGAAACATTGCTCCAAGTTAAACAGTCACGATCAATACAGCTGAAATAAGGGCAAAGAACTCATGTTTTCTTTTCTTGTTTCAACTCAGCTTCTAGGTCACTTGAAAAGAAACCTCTTCACTGAGACCTCTATTGCTGCACTTGTGCATTTTAGCCCAAGCTACTCTATCTATCTAGTACAGAATATTCTCCCTGGAATCAGTGGCAAGGATAAGGCCACACTATTGATAATAATAGGAATAAATAATAATCATGAGAACAGCAATGGCAATACTGACAATGCAATAAAAATAGCATATGAAATAGCCTAAAAATATATCCCTTCCCAAATCTAAAACAAAAAGGGGAGTTGCCTACTTTGTCTATTTCTCTTGAATAGTCAATGAAACTGGTTGTTGCCTAATTTAGATCATACTCTGTATAAACATCTTGAGTACTTATATGGCTATAAGCTTAGGTTTGTCCCTAAGTGCTACAGGTCATCCTCATTTAGTGATTGCCTCAGACAGCGATCATTCAGTTACGATGATGATGAAAAAGTAACTTTGCAATCAATGCCCACATTTACGACCCTCACAGCATCTTGTTCTCAGTCATATATTCACCATTAGTTAGTGAGTATGTTTTGTCCTCTGTCTAAAAAACTGTAAGCACAATTACAGTCATGTGATTTTTCTTCGCTTACCAATCATTTCATTTAACTAGTACACTGCTGGTCTCAATTGCAGTTGTAAAACAAGTACAGTTGCCTGTACTTACTGTTGTGTGTGATTCTGCTTTAGCAATTAAGAGAAGAATGATCAGTGCTTAATAACAGATCAAAAGCAGCAATTAAAGGGCCTATATATTCTCTTCTCAAAATGCTGTTTATACTGTATTATGCCAACATAAATGAACCAATGAACAGTCACCCGTCGAGGGAGTCCAAACAGGAAATTAAAAACAACAACAATCATGAGTATTAATTTTATCTTGATTGTTGAGATTACAGTAACAAACCATGGCAAGTCTGAGAGCATTTCTTCCCTCCTTTGACGTTACTGTCTGGGAAAGTACCTTTTGAGATCCTTTCTCCATCCCCATTCCTTCCGTGGTCTGTCTCTTGACTGGATCTTTGCCTGGCTGAGGCTCTTCCACATCTCCTAAGATTATTCTTACAAGCTAACTTGATCTAAAGCCGTTTTTGGGGTTCCTAACCTTTTTCCTAAAAAGATCAACCAAAACTTGTAATGGGTTTTTAAGTAATAAGTTAACAAAGACAGGAATATTTCAAATGTCACTATTATAAGACAAATATGCATTGCTGTAAGACAAATATTATAAGACAAATTGCAGACAAATAGTCAATAGAAATTGACTACTGCTTATGATTCTTTTTTACCTGCTGAGCTAAGCAGTACACTGAAGTCTGTCCCACGCTGAGATTCACCACTGTCATTTTGTGTTTCTTTCTCACTTTCTTCATAACGGTGCCAGTTGGAGACTAGCTTTCTTCTTGAATAACTTCCCCAATCTTCTTTGCCCATTTCTGGTAAGTCAAGTTCAGCAGTAGCCTATAGCATATATCAGAAAAATGATTAAATAACTATGATTAGCTTTTGCTTTTATTCCAGTTTCCAAGAAAAATTAAACAGCAGTCTTGTCAATTTTCCAACAATATTTTATGCAGTAATATCTTTATTATCAACTCAGATTTGGCAATTGGATCAATATTTTGGCTAGGACACAATGCATGATGGCAGAAACATTCCAATTTCTGTTTTTATTTTATTCTGTTTTTATTTTTACTTCAGAATTGGATGGTAACCATTATTTTTAATAATTTAATTTAAAAGTAATGATTTTAATATTTTAACATTAATATTTCTATTTCAGAAAAATATTCATCTAAGAATAGAATAGAATTCATCTTATCTCCTTAAGATTTAATATTTACATTATCAGATTTCTATTCAATTACAAAGGATTACAATCAGAGCAAAGAGGAATAGTTAATCTGTATTAAATGAATCAGGGCAAAGCAATAGACGCAATCTACATAGACTTCTGTAAAACCATTGATTCAGTTTTACACAACAAACTACTCCTAAAACTAAAATCTTACGGTATCTCTGGACACCTGCATAACTGGATAGAAGCATTCCTGTCAAACAGACAACAGATGGTCAAAATTGGGAGCGTCCTATTAAATTCTGTACCTGTCAACAGTGCTGTCCCCCAAGGCAGTGTTCTAGGACCAACTCTCTTCATACTCTACACAAATGACCTCTGTGGTCATATTAAGAGCAACTGCATTCTCTTCACTGACGATGTAAAGCTATTCAATACCACAGACAATACTGCTATCCTTCAAAAATACCTTGACTATGTATCAGATTGGTCAAACAAATGGCAACTACAAATCTCAACAAATAAGTGCCTTGTCTTACATATTGGCAAAAAAAATCAGAAAATAAAATGCAGTCTGAATAGTCAAGACCTTGATGATCCAAACACTGTCAAGGATCTTGGAGTACTCATCTCTAATGACCTAAGTGCTAGAGCCCACTGTAACTACATAGCCAAAAAGGTGTTAAGAGTTGTTAACCTAATCTTACATAGCTTTTTCTTTGGTAATATTACACTAATAACTAGAGCATACACTCCTCTACTCGTTGCAGAATACCTTATGCCACCAGACTTGAAATTCTAGACCTAGAAAACCTAGAACTATGCCGCCTTCAGTCCAATCGAAGTATAGTATATAAAATCATACATTTATCAATGTCCTACCTGTCAATGAATACTTCAGCTTCAACCATAACAACACAAGAGCAAACAATAGATACAAACTCAAGGTTAATTGCACCAAACTTGATTGCAGGAAATACGACTTCAGCAACAGACTGGTCAATGCCTGGAATACTCTACCTGACTTTGTGGTTTCTTCCCCAAACCCCAAGAACTTTAACCTTAGACTAACTATTATTGATCTCACCCCTTTCCTAAGAGGTCTTTAAGGGGCGTGCATAAGCACACCAACGTGCCTACCCTCCCTGTCCTATTGTTTCTTTTATTTTTTTATTTTTCTTATATGTATCCATGTATTCATAACTATGTTTTTACTTATACCTATTATCTTGTAAGCAATTGACAAAAATAAATAAATAAAAATAAAATAAAAAATAAATAGAATTTGAACTACAAGGCTTCACAGTAAATAAAACTATTAAAGGTGAAAGATCATTAAAAAGAAGCTGAGTTCCTGATTAAGATATACTTTTTTACCATTCAACATGACAGGTTACAACAGTGTTCCTCAACTGACCTGTGTGAAGATGTGTGGGCCTCCACTCCCAGAATACTCCAGCCAATAAACAGAATTCTAGGTGTTGAAATCCATATAATTTAAGGTCTATTTAAGACTTTTAGTCATCAACAATCAGAATTTAAAAATTCAGTTATCTGAATGATAAAAGGAAAATGTGGCACACATTTGTTTAAAAATATCGCTCTATGTAACAGACATAACATCCTCCATGCAGCACTTGTGGGAAGTCTCATTTAAGCTTTTTCATACATATTATACTCATTATATTGCTCACCTTCTGGATAACCAACATAATGCAAAGTATGGAACAGGAATAAGAAATTATGAGCCAAAGATATTAAAGACATAAAATAAGAAAAGAACAAAAGAAAATATTGCTTGTTTTAATTTATACTAGAATCATTATACTATACTATACTGTACTAAACTATACTGTGAGTGTGTGTGGGGGTACTCTACACCCCCTCACATTTTGTAAATATTTAAGTATATCTTTTCATGTAACAACACTGAAGAAATGACGCTTGGCTACAATGTAGACAGTGTAAATGTGCTTGTCCTCTCAAAATAACGCAACACACAGCCATTAATGTCTAAACTCCACTCCTCTACTCGTTGCAGAATACCTTATGCCACCTGACTTGAAATTCTAGACCTAGAAAACCTAGAACTACGATCTAAGTATAATATATAAAATCATACACTGCAATGTCCTAACTGTCAATGAATACTTCAGCTTCAACCATAACAATATAAGAGCACACAATAGATACAAACTCAAGGTTAATCGCACCAAGCTTGATTGCAGGAAATATGACTTCAGCAACAGAGTGGTCAATGTCTGGAATATTCTACCCGACTCTGTGGTTTCTTCCCCAAACCCCAAAAACTTTAACCTCAGACTGTCTACTATTGACCTCACCCCTTTCCTAAGAGGTCTGTAGGGGGCGTGCATAAGTGCACCAACGTGCCTACCATCCCTGTCCTATTGTTTTTTTTATTTTTTTATTTTTCTTATATGTATCCATGTATTCATAACTATGTTTTTACTTATACCTATTATCTTGTAAGCAATTGACAAATAAAAATAAATAAAATAAATAAAAAATAAACTTAGTTCTAAAATAAACATTTGAATGAACATTAATCTGAAAAATATGAAAATATTTTTACTTATACCTATTATCTTGTAAGCAATTGACAAACCAAATAAATAAATAAATAAAAATAAATAAATAAATAAAAATAAATAAATAAACTGCTGGCAACAAAAGTGAGTACAACCCTAAGTGATAATGTCCAAATGGGGCCCAAAGTGTCAATAGTTTGTGTGACCACCATTATTTTCCAGCACTGCACCTTAACCCTCTTGGGCATAGAGTTCACCAGAGCTTTTCAGGTTGCCACTGGAGTCCTGTTCCACTCCTCCATGAGAACAACACGGAGCTGGTGGATGTTAGAGACCTTTTGTGCACAATTTTTTTTAACTATTTTGTGTCATTTTCTATGCATTTTATTATCTTCTACCTCTTTTCAGAGAAACCATTTCATTGAATTAAATAAACATGTATAGGACAGCAATATACTACCCTAATATATTGGAAAGAAATCCAACGATTATGTTTCAATCATTATTTAAATTATTTATTGGAATTTCAAAATCCATTGTAATAAACCATGCAATGTGTCCTTAAATCACATCAGAGGAGATTACTAGTACCAGCACTTTGTGTTTTGTGTCCAATGCTGCAATCTTTTGAATGAACATTCCAGGGTTGTCCTAGCAACCATATGGTTCTACCTACAATCCCATCTTCACAAGAAGATTAAATCAAAACAAGGCTTTCTGCATTAAAGAACAGCAGAAACAATCTTTATTAATTAAAAAAAACCCAAGCATTCTCCCGTTCCATTTTTTCATTATTTCTAAATGAAATAAACAATTATAGGCTCAAGTAATTGTTAATGTAAATGGTGAAAGATAATTCCGCAGATGCATTATTAAACTCTGCTGTGATTGACTATACCAAATGCTTACAATCTTGATATTCATACGTATTTCAGAAACAGATTGGAAAATACGGTGTTCATACTTCAATAAATTAAAATTTCAACTTTATTTTCAATATATCAGTGCTCGGAATAAAATCTGCTTTCACTGATGTAGAAGTTATCAAAGGACAAAGAACTAAAATATCATGTGTTCCAACTGTTCTTGCTTGCCTGCTGCTTTCATTGTTAGCTCTTTTCACTTTAAATAAACATGCTTTAAAAATCATGACAACTGAAGCCACCAACTAATTACAGATTGGAGTCTTTATGATTTTCACAAAATATTTATATAAGGTCAGCTATAAAATGTAACAAAACACTTTTCCTAGCAGCCTGAGGATAACATCCGAATGAATTCCAAGTTTAGCTTTGCAAATATTTAGTTTCTTTTGGATGAGAGAACACTGGGGATTTATGATATTTATGCAATGTTTGTAGTATTTCTGGGTAAGCAGAATTTATCCAGAACTTATTCAAGTAAAGATAGGGATCTGCATCAGGCAACAAGTATAAAGGACCACGCTCTGCTTTTCCTAACTCTAACTAAACCCCTAAATTCTTGTCAGAATTCAAATTACAAAATTCCTTTCCTCATACATCTGTCATGCAGAGCACTAATTTCACACTACTTTAGAAAGATCACCTTATTCCTGTAAATAAACACAATGCACATTCACTAAATATCATTATCAGTATCTGTCATGTTCCCAACAACGTACCAAGTAACACTTCAATAAAAATCAATGTGATGTATGCATTTCAAGACAACCAAATTTATTGCCCAATCCCTATTTTTAAATTTGTTTAGGCTGCCATACTGAGGACTGGCTTTAAAGATAATGTGATCTTTCAAACCAACAATTCAAGTCTCATACACTCATTTCCTTACAAGATGAGAACTATTATGGGAAAGATGTGGGGGAGGAGGGAAAGAAGGATGTTAAAATCTTCCATACATTTGGGGGAAATAACTTTGGGTTAGTCTTCACTCCTAGTTTTTGTGGCAAGATTTTTTTAGAAGTGGTTTGCTATTGCTTTCTTCGTAAGGCTGAAAAAGAGTGGCTGGCACAATCAGATTTTATGCCTAAAGCAGAGATTAGAACTCATGATCTACCAATATCTATGGAGATTCTTAGTCATCCAGGTCATGGTTGTCCTAAAGGTGCTTTTCCAGAGACAACTGGACTTTCT